GTTCCCCCAAGGTGGTACCCTAGACCATCCCAAAGAAAGAAAGAAAGAAAGAAAGAAAGAAAGAAAGAAAGAAAGAAAGAAAGAAAGAAAAGAATAAAAGAAGCTCTAAATGCCAGGGTGGTCAGTCCAAAGCACGGAGAGGGAACTGATGCACCGTCCTCAGGATGGACAGGGAGAGAGACGGCTCAGCCCCGGTCTGTCGGCGGCTAGGCACGGAGTTTATACACGCGTTTAAGGAATTGACTCAGGGCCGCCAACGCCAGTTTCTTTCATTGTTGGAGCAACAACCTAAACGCCGTTATCAGTGCCTGGGAGTGTTCAAGGCCATGTCTTGGGCTCAGGTCTGCAGGAAAAAACACAGCTGGTTGGGTCAGAGTGCTCAAGGCTCTCTGTGTTTCTTGGTCAGGACAGAGAAGCTGTGGGGGAGGGCGGGGAACTGGGGAACCCTACACATGGCTGCCACACCCTTGGCCGCCCTGCCCTTGTCCTCAGCCAAGGAGTCTGCTGAGGCCCTGCCGGGGCTGGCTCCAGGCCACGCTCATTCTCCGTCTTGCCCCTGCAGTCGCCCCGGTGATCCTCCTGGAGTCGCACTGCGCGGCGGCCCGCGACACCGTACAGTGCCTGTGCGTGGTGAAATCCAACCCGGAGCCCTCCGTGGCCTTCGAGCTGCCATCACGCAACGTGACCGTGAATGAGACGGAGCGCGAGTTCGTGTACTCAGAGCGCAGCGGCCTCCTGCTCACCAGCATCCTCACGCTGCGGGGGCAGGCCCAGGCCCCGCCCCGGGTCATCTGCACCTCAAGAAACCTCTATGGCACCAAGAGCCTGGAGCTGCCCTTCCAGGGAGCCCGTGAGTGACGTGGCCTTGGGGTGGAGCCACAGGAGGGAGGGGCTTCTCTGGGATCCAAGCTCCCCAAGACCCGCAATCAGCATAGGTCAGCCAGGCAGACTGATAAAATGGTAAAAGATCCCCTTTCCACTGGCCAAGAGAGGCCGCCCTGAGGTCACCTACACTTTACAGGCCCCTCCCATGGGCCCTCCGGCAACTAAGGGGACCGTTGGTGGTGCCAGGAGACTCCATGCTTGTCGTCCATGCAAGGATGTACTAGCTGTGTAAATAGTGTGACCGTCACCCCAGCATGTCACCTAAGAACCCAGGTACCCTCACTGCCACCAGCAGCCCTGAGGGCGCCTGGGTCTTCTCTGTCCTCAGACCGACTGATGTGGGCCAAGATTGGGCCGGTGGGAGCCGTGGTCGCCTTTGCCATCCTAATTGCCATCGTCTGCTACATAACCCAGACACGCCGAAAGTGAGTGCCTGCCAGGGCTGATCTGGGAACAGGACTCTCCAAGAGGGACACAGGAGGTTGGAGGCTGGGGGGGGGGCC